TTCTTCTGCTATTGCATCTGCAGCGGCTTTTAGTAGCTTCTCACTGTATTGAAATTGCCGAAGATATGGAGCTGATCACGGTCAAATCTTAACGGCAGTTAACTCTGCAATTAATGCAAAGACCAATGGAGACATAATGACTTTAACAGCCGGAGCAGCTACGGGTATCTGAACTTCCATTAATTACTCAAATCTAAGACCAAGAGGAACAGCTTCCGCTTATTTGATGCAAGTAGAACATAAATCATGCATTTTACATCTTCAGGAAGATTGCCTGATCTGCATTATTGACTGAATTAATTAGGATCAACATAACACGGTAACTCATTAGGGAGAGGTGAAAAAAAAAAAGAGATTTCCTTAATCAAGTATTAACACGTAGTAAAAATGGGTGGCTAAGCTCACAATCATTGAATTCTTTTTCTTTTGCATGGACTTGAAATTACTAACATATAGAAGAGAATTTGTGATGAAATCAAACACTGTTTACAGCCTTACGAGGAGCTGCTACTCTAAAGCAAGGCTGCAAAAGGGGATGGGAAGCTCAACATTTCCATTAGCGGAGGAAGGTTTGAAGAAGGGAAAGAAGCAAACATGTTAACAGCACTAGACTGCGTCTTCAGAGGAGGAGAACTTCTCAAACGTACAAGAAAAAGGTATGCTCGCTTACTTGTTTACAATGAAAACCTCAATAACATTGAAATTAAAAAGTCCAGATATATATACAAAAGACTCAAATTCTTGTTTGAGCCTCTCTTTTTATTAAATGTGACAGGGGATCTTCACTGGAAGCAAGTGTCCTTCGTTGTAAATTCAAATCTGCTGCAGGTAATTGGTGACAAATACTCTACATGTTCAATTGTTCATTAACAAGTTATAGGGCGTAAATTCTTAAACTTTACGTCAGATAGAGGAACTAGCTGTCCATAAAATTTTGACAGTTCCTCTCCAGGCAATAAAGCAGCGTGATAAATTCGTTGTTACTGTGACTTCGTCTCTAATCAATATTTGAGTTTGGAAATTTCTATTGAATGAAAAAATGGCAACAGGTTGTAGCCAAATTGAAAAGCAAGCATATGGGAGGAACGTTCAAGAAAAAGAAGAAATGTAAGCAAATTTTGAACCTACTGCTTACTTGTTATCTTCCTACCACTCCCTGTCAACAATGGTTAAGGTACGGACCTAATGTGGCAGATATGTCACTGGAGTGTGCAGTGATATGCCAGCCTGGCCTGAAAGGGAAAGGAAGACGGGATTGAGAGGAGAGCTTATTTCGGATTAAAAACAGCCGACAGGATAATAGAATTTGAATGTGCAAGTAAACATGACAACAGATATGGATTGAGGGGATCAAGTATATGTTGAATTGCCGTGCCAAACTAACCTAGTCAATACAGTGTTTGGAATTGGGGTTACTGTAAATATGGTTTTTGAGCTTATTCTATTTTTCTCCTCCTCCAATGACTTCAAGTCATCAAGTGAATGTCCACAACTTCTTGAGCAATCAATTGGGCAGCAATAAAACCTATAATTAGAGGCGGAGTAAGGATTTTTAATTAGGGGGGTCATGATCAAAAAGCAATATTGTAATTGAAGTATATAGATATATATATATATATATAACACTAACATAACATAAATATTTCAGCATATATTCATATTTAATTTTACAAATATAGAATCAAAATAAATATGCATATTCATTTTTTAAGTTTTGCTTATTAATTCTTCATGATATATATCAATTATCATGTATGTGGTAAACTTTTCACTTTCTCAACATAAATTATTATTAAATTAGTAAATATTCATTTTCAATTTTGTTGCGGAGCCATGAATCAATATTTTTTTAAGATATTGATCTTCCACTTTTAAAAATATAGATTGTAAAATATATTAAAAGAAAAAAATAAAAAAACATAACACAAATTGCACAATATATTAAATGTTTATAAAGAAAACATATTTTTTAGATATTGATTTTTTAAACTTTTCATGTACTAACTTACATTTATTAAAAAGAAAGTAATTAAATCTTATATATTAATATTAATTATATATAAATATATCTTAAAGATTAAAAAAATATAACTCTTAATGTTTGCGAAAAAAAAAAAAAAATTAGAGGGCCAAAGTCTACCCCTGTTTATAATCATTGCCAGCCACCGCGTGTTTATTTTCAAGGTAAGAGCGATGCAAACCACATTTTTGTGAAGCAGCCCACACGGATCCCACCGTGAAAATCGATATATACTTAAAAATTGTGACACAACAACTGTTACTCTCTCCCTTTCTATTTGTTAAAAAAAAAACAATCATTTTTTACTTATTTTTTATATAAATAAAATTATCTATTTCAATAAACATTTATTACACATTTTTTAAATTATCTCTCATAATTTATAATAATAAAAAGTAATTAATACATACTTATGTTGATTAACATAGGGTATTTTAATTTATTTTTTTATTTTCAAACATAATTATTATGGTTAATTAATTTTTTTAAATTATGTGATATAATTTTTTTTTTATATAGAAATGGAGGGAACAAACTAAGATGTAGATTGTAAAATTGTAAAGTGATTGGACCTTTTACCTCAACCAATGTTGTGAGAATTGGACCGGACAAGATGGTTCGACCGTTGCTTGCTAAGTAAAATGATTTGGTTCAACTAATTGAACCAAATTTGCCTTTGGACTGGATTGAACCAGGCAGTTTTCATAGAATCGGATTTAACCCTGAAACTACGGTGGGTCAACTTGATTCAAAACAAAAAAAAATTTAGGCTAAGTCGCTCAGATTTATAATTTTTTTCTCTAATATCTAATTTTTTTCTGTCTTCTCTTCTCTAATCTCTAATCTCTCTTCCATGATTCATACTTAATCTCTTATTTTCCTCCAACCTCTTCCTCTAGCTCTAGTAGTCTAGTAGTCCAGGAATCTAACCTTCAATGTTAAAATTTCAAGCACCATTGACAAATTAATATTTATTTATATATTTGTGTATATAAATATTATTTTTTATATGATAAATATTATTTTATTTAATTTTTATTATTAATTTAATCATCAATCTAACTAGTTAGTCCATGAAAATCATGATCAGTTATTTTTTTTAGTTGGACATTCGGTTTGAGGTTCAAAACACTGACCTCAACGGCTCAGTCCTCAACCATCTCAGGAAACTAATGCAGCAATCGTTGTCATTTCACCAACAAAGTAAAGAATTTGCAGCTCTTTAAGGCCATTTTAATTTTAAAATATCACTGGAAACTAATAATGTGGAAATATTTAGATTTTGAGAAAAACAAGCCTTCCGCCGCCAAGTTGAAAGAGTTCGCCGTTCCTTCATTCTGTAATGCTGTGTTTCTCATTAGATATTAACAGTGTTACCCCTGAATTCACTGGTAACTGTCCAGAGACCTTGATCTAAGAGATAGAAACTGGCATGTGTGTTGTGTCACATGTTCATGATCTTATGTTGATCACTAACATGTGATTTTTATTTATCTTGTTTTTTATTCATGTTAATTATTTTTTTTTCTCCATCAGCTTACCTCTTCTATTCCTTCCAACGTTGGAAGGAAGTCAAGCAGTGTAAGAAACATGCGAGACACACTGGTATTCTTTTTCCCCACTTCTGTTCAACTCGTCTTAAAAATAGAGGAAAAACTCAAATCCTTTCCCCATTTATTTTTCTTTATGTTCCTGACACATGCTGGTTAATATGCGATCCGTATAAAACCTGCGTAAAGACGTATTGGAAGTATTAAAATAAAAAAAGGTGCTATGATAACTGGAAGGAGACGATCGAGCCGCTCATGTTCAAGGTTGTGGGCGTTGTAAAATGCATTGAGTTTTGGAATGGAGTTACTTGAAGTCTCAGTGACATATGATGTCTTGGGTTTTGGCATGCTTGCTTTTCACGAATTGTCCGTTTGTGGGACAGTAGGGTATATTATAATATGGTGGATTGACTGGTGAATATGGAAAAGGAGCGAGAAGTGGGCGGCAACATCGTCATCATGCAATGTGAGGTGAATGACAAAGCTGTGAACATCGCATGGGCCCATACAGACACAGTGAAATCCATGTTCGCTTTAATTGAGAGGCCCTCTGCACCCTAACCTTTTTTCTTAGTCCAAAACAACATCATAATTCTAACAAAAGACAACAAAAACCTACCCTCTTCCTTCCATTTTCAAAAGGTCAACTGGTCTTGGGATCCTCAATAACACAGTGATGTGATTTTCCTACAAGGGAAAACTCAAATCCCTTCCCTCGTTTACTTTTCTAATTTATTTGCTTCATTAATATTATAATATATGATTTCCCAGGAATAGTCCGAAGCCAAGACATGACGAGCTTCTGCCAAAGTCGAAGTTTGAAAACTTCCTAGGCAAATCAAATGCCCCTGAAAATATTATTAATCAGGTACAATTAGCTGTCGCTCACGTTGCTCAAGCGTCCAAGTGAGGTTCAATAATTCCTCATGTTTTATGACGATCGAATTATATGGAATAGAAAAGTTGGGTCAGGGCTCTCTGCTGGCCTCCTCCCTCATGTCGTCCCCTCACATAGTGCGCACCCCCACTATGTGAGGGCAGGAGGGGACCTGAGGGAGGAGACCAGGAAAGAATCTCCTCCCAAATAAGTGATGGCATGTGGGAATCTGATTATTGGACATTTAATTTGGAATAGAAAAAGTAAGACGCAATTATTTATACGGAGAATTACATTAAATTCTTATATAAAAAAGTTAATTACTGTAAGTTTGAGAATGAATTTTTAACTAGTCCTACAGTAATTAATTTTTTTTTTACATGACAAATGTTATAGTTCTCCCTTACTTATATTTGTACCTTTGTTTTGCATATATATAACTGGAAACCTCGCATGTAATATGCCAAACCCACCATAACCTATCTATCTATTGCTCCCTGATCGCTATCCATCCAGTCATGCCCAAGATCGCTCTCGGAACCTCTCGGGAGGCTACCCAGCCCGACTGCCTTCAGGCCCTCGTCATCGAGTTCATTACCACCTTCCTCTTTGTCTTCGCCGGTGTCGGTTCTGCCATGGCTGCCGGTACTTCATAGTTTCTTAACTAGTTGACGCGTACTATCTATGGATATGTAGTTTACTCGTTTCTTTTTGTTGGTCATCTAGAAAAGCTAGGAGCAGACGCTTTGGTAGGGCTGTTTGCCGTGGCCATGGCACATGCACTTGTGGTCGCCACCATGATATCGGCTGGCCACATTTCCGGCGGCCACCTCAATCCAGCCGTGACGATCGGCCTCCTCGTGGGCGGCCACATCACCCTCTTCCGTTCCATCCTTTATTGGATCGATCAATTACTCGCATCGGCCCTTGCCTGTTATCTTCTTCACTACCTCTCCGGCGGACTGGTAATGATTTGCCATTTAATCTATTGAATTATTGAATCGGAAGTTATGATCCTGATTGGGAAGCCAAATGATAAATGTGCAGCCAACCCCGGTGCACACGCTGGCGAGTGGAGTGGGGTACGCTCAGGGAGTGCTATGGGAGGTCATCCTAACATTTTCATTGCTGTTCTCCGTGTATGCAACGATGGTGGATCCGAAAAAGGGAGCCATTGATGGGCATGGGCCCACCCTGGTTGGGTTTGTTGTGGGCGCTAATATCCTGGCCGGAGGGGCCTTCTCCGCCGCTTCTATGAACCCAGCAAGGTCCTTTGGGCCTGCTCTGGTCAGCGGCAATTGGGCCGATCATTGGGTTTACTGGGTCGGCCCACTCATTGGGGGTGCCTTTGCTGGCTTCATCTACGAGACCTTTTTCATCAACAGATCCCATGCCCTTCTTCCTCGAGATGAAGAAAACCGCTAGCAAGCTAGCTGTATTTATTTCCTAGCTTGTCTAGCTCTCCATCTCTCATAGTGCATTATTAATTAGACCATGAGCTTGTCTTATGTATTCATGTAATTTTGTGTGTGTATGTGTGTGTGCCTGTGTGGTGTTGTTGGTGGTGAACACCAATGTAATGTAGTCCTCAAATTAAATGCATGTGTTAAGTTGAGATGATGGCTTTCAAATTTTGATTTTTAAAAATAATTGCACATCATATAACATCTTTTTTATGGGTAAATCTAGGCTGATAAGTATTTTAATTAATTCCAATAAATTCATGCATTTAACTATAGAAGAAAAGATTTAAGATTCCCTCGGAGGGTTTAAATTCCTGCAAGTATTTTTTTAGAAAATAAACTGTTATCATTATATGCTTTTATTCAATTTTGGTTTCTTGTCAAAATATCCTTTATTTTAAAACTCTTAGTTAAGAATATATTTAACAGAAAGAATATATTTTAATTTAAAACAGAATAAATTTTAAATAGAAATAATTTTTTATTTTGAGATCATAAATTTAAACAAAAATGCATGCAATTAATTTTATATTCTATGTTCTGTCCAAAAAAAGTTGTTATTTTATGTTTCCTTAACTCTCAAACTATTTAATTAAAAAAAACTCAAAAACTATAAATAAAGTGAAAAAGAAACTATATTCCAGATTTCCTATATAACAAAACGATCGTACTATTTTTCTTAAAAAAAAACGTTATACTATAATTAGTATTATTGATGATTTTGTTATCTAAAAAAATATTATTGATGATTTACTTGCCGAGTTACTGAAGCATTTGGCTAATTAAGAATTAAGAAATAGAGTACATAACTTGACCATGGAGTTCGCACTAGCGAATGGTACACAAACACCTGTGACTGTGAGGGACCCGGGGGAAGTGATTTCCGGAATCTCACTGGAAATAGGTATCTCGAAGTTTCTTCTCCACCCACGACGGCGACAAAACAGGACTCATATCGTACTCTGTAATCTTCTTCCCGGCGTCGCGCTGATCAGTGCACTCCAAGCACAAATTTTCATCAGGCAAAACCTTCACCCTCCACACCTTAAATGTTTGGTCCAGACTCGCACTGTACACCAAAACCCCGTCACCACCTTCTCCATCTCAAGGCAGGCTGCTAAACATCTTACTGGCCCTCTGTGTCCATCTAAAACTGATAAGCACTCATGGTAACAGCTCCCTTCCTCTCTCCTCCACACCCTTATCGTTGTGTCCTCCGATCCACTGAATATCAAGTTCCCCACCGTCGCTAGGCAAAGAACTGCGAAACGGTGACCCTGTAAAAACCCTCCATGGTTGAATCTATAACACAATCTCTCTTTCTTCCAGAAATTAATCATACCATCCGAAGACCCCGAGTAGAGAAAGCAATGGTTAAAGGATGTGCTCAATGCCATCGTGTTGACAGGGGAAGGTTGGAATTTAAGAGTCATTGTGAGGGTGTGCGAGTCTTCTGTGTAGACCCTCCTCCATAATTTCACCGATCCGTCAGAGGAGCAGCTGAAAAGACAACCATCGTCTTGGTTCACCATCAGTGAATTAACATTATCTTCGTGTGCCGCAAATGAATCTACGCATTTTCTATCTGAGACCCTCCAAGCTTTCACTGTTCTGTCATGAGATCCAGTGTATAAGAGCCCTTCTGAATGGTAATAAGCCATGCAAGAAACGGAGTCTTTATGTTGCTGGGCGCTGCTTGCTCTGGAGAACAGAAGAAACGAGTTTTTTCTGGGAAGTGTGGCGACCTTTTTGGATTTAAAGGTGTCAGAAACCATGAAGTTCCAAATTCGAATCTTGCGGTCTTTGTGGGTTGAGAAGAGCATGTCACTATGAGCCAAAATGGATCGGACTTCGCCAGAGCTAGCTTTGAGGTATCCTCTGTCCATGCAATCGGGCTGCTTCCACACCCGGATTCTGTTGCTGTCAGAGCCAGTAAAGACTAAGCCCCTTGAAGCTGCGATTGCGTAGATATTACCGTCGTGTCGATGGAGCGAAGCGATGCAATAGTAAAGAAGCGAAGGAGGAGGAGGAGAAACTGGGTGCGGGGAACGCGTCCATGGCGATTCAGGGCCAGGGGATGGCATCATTGGGAACATTGTGGCGTCAGAGTTAGAAGGCCTCGGCGAGCTTAATTGAACATCATGTTTGCTTGTCTCTTTATGGGTTCGGACGCTGAGGTGAAATTGAGGTTGAAGTTCCATATTTTCCTTGTCCATCAAACTATGGAGAGATCCTTTTCCATAGAAATCCATGGCATGAGATGGAATAATACAAAAGGGGTTTAGATGTGAGAAGGAAGGGCTACAATTAGAAATATGAGCGAATGAGTGGTCTATTTAAGAAGGTGTAAATGTTTATCAACCGCGTCAGAAAATTGCATGCAGACTTGGACGAGTGAATTTGTTTCCACACTTAGAGTAATGTTGGGGATTAGGTGTGCCGGGTTCTGAATGATTTAGGATTTAGGACCTCTCTATAAATCCGAAGGTTCAAGGACCATGCAATGTTTTAAAATTTAATGCCTTGGTGTAATCTTGGAACGATGGGCCTATGCTGGTGCTTGTTACCCTCTCGGGTTGGCCTGCCAGTGTTTAATGGAATCCCAGAAATGTCAATGGAGGTGGTTCCGATCATTACCACAGGGGCGGAGGCGGACCATCTACGAGGGAAACGCTCTATTAATACGGTTATTGAATTCTGCAATAACTTTGTGATTTCCCAACATATCTTTCTCTCTTTCCCTTTCGGTCCAAGCACAGGACCTTTGCCCGCAAATGTGACCATTAAATGAAAGGACCGAGTATGGATGGAGTGAAGTGCAATAAAAGGTGCTTGCGGGTTAGCTTAGCTACAGCTGAAGCTTAATTAAGCAACGAAACATTGAGTACGAAGTGCAGTGTAGAGTTAATCAGAGAGGAGGGGTCTGTTGCTCAGGCGTTATTTTTGCTCATCAGAGTGGGTGAGCGACGGATACTGCTAACAAAGAAATCTAGAGATGGTTATCATTGGTGCGGTAGAGCGCCAATGAATGGACTACATAATCGTTTGTGCTTATATTGTTGGAATATTATTTATGAATTAGCATTAATTAATAAGCTCAATAAATTGGTCCTTATGATCTTGTGTGGACCGTGATAGGTGGACCACACAAGTGAGCCCAATAGGCAGAGGCCCAACCCACAACCCAGTAGCTGTCAGTTATTTCCTATCTCTTAACTGACTGAGTCAGAGATAATAGATTTTATAATTATTTAATTATTTAATAAGGCGGTTACCGATCTGATCTATATAAGACGATTAGTCGGTAACCACAAACACACGACTCATTTTCTTCTACTTCCATTATCTCTGAACTCTCTGAAGGCTCTGGGGACTTGAGGGTTGTGTACCTGCCTGCACTCGAGGTAATCGAGATTTCTCTAGCACTCATGGATTCTTCAGGAACGCATGAATTACTTTATTCTATCATATTATTATATACATGTGAATTGAGATATACAGATCAACACGTGGCATCAGAGCCTTGGTAACGACTTTTAAATTTATATATCTCAATTCCCTTTACGTATATTTTTTTTTTGATATATTGAAAAGATTCTTGCTCATGTTGATAAATTTCTTATGATCCATATTCTTCAGATTTGAATATGAGAACTTTGTCTTCAATCTTTATATATATATTTAAACAAAAAAGGAGGAGATTCTGTCATCGCCGACGTTCTCTCTCCACCTCTTCAAGTTCACGACGTCACCGTGGAACTGCCACCGTCGTGGTAACTGGCAGCTTCGGGTTCGCCGGCGTCCGGTAACCGTTGGCACGCCGACAACCCCTTCCTCCTCATCTTCCAGCTCGCGCTGGAGAGGACCCAGAACGGGTCGTGGAACCGGATCCTAGGGATCCGGTTCTGTGGATTATGGGCCCACAATTTAGTTTGGGCCCAAATCCAAAAAAAAAAGGCGAAGCTGGCGGTGCAAAGGAAAGGGATCCGGTTTCCGTGTTTTGGGCCCAGATGACCTGGTTCAAAAAAAAAAACTTCTGTTAATCGCGTTTCGGCCCTAGTTTTAAATTACCTATTTGGGCCCATAATTTCTTGTATTTATGTATTAGCCCCAATTTATTTCTGGAAATCACAGTTCAGTCCCTTAACTTCTAGAATTTCAATTTTGACCCAAATCTCTTCCAGAATTACTCCTTTACCCCTGATAACCTTTCAAAATTTCACTCAAGTCCTAAATTTGTTCCTTAATTCCCAAAAGACCTTAAGGACTTTAAAATTATTTTGTTTTGTCCTAAAGTCATAAAGTTTGTGACTTTGTAAATTATTGATGATCTTCAGGATCTTGTAGCATTGATAATGGACATACCCCATAGGTATGACATTATTAATTTGATTTTGATGGTTGGCTTTGAGAATAGGCTAATAGCACTCCTTTAATGTATTAGATATTTATTGTACCCTATAGGTATGGAAATGTTTAATGCATTATTTTGTATGGACTTTTGTGTGAGCTAAATCTTTATGGTATATGAGCCCTCTTAGTGCATGGTTATAGTTGCATAATTGATAATCGCTTGTTGGGAATTCTGTTTTATAATTATGTTGTGCACGCATAATTAATATTTCCCATTTTCTGTTTTACGATTTCAGTTTCTGCTTTTACGCAACTATCCTTTGTGAAGGCTCTTAATGGGACTAATTATGATGACTGGAAAGAGTCTCTCAATATGTATCTGACCATTTCTGAGAAAGATTTAGCTCTGAGAGAGCCCAAGCCTGTGGATCTCTCTTCCAAGTCCAGTGCTTCTGAAATAGCCTTCCATAAACAATGGAGTGAGTCCAACCGGATCTGTCTAGCGATCATCAAGTACACAATTGAAAAGGGAATTAGGGACAGCATTCCTGAAAATGATACTGCAGTGGAGTACTTGAAAGCTATTGGTAACAAATACAAGAAGCTTGACAAGACTCAAAAGAACTACTATCTGTCACTTCTTGACAATACTCGATACGACGGAGTTTCTGGTGTCAGGGAGCACATTCTGAAGCTTGTTCATTACTATAACAAGCTTAAGTCATATGGGATTGATTTGGGTGAAAGCACCTTGGTTTACCGTGTTCTTTAATCACTGCCATCAGAGTACGCATTCTTG